ACTCGCGCCGCTCACTCGAGGCTTAATTGGGGATTATAGTCGAGCAGGCGGCAGGGGCCGTCGGGAACGGTGAGGGTGGGTGCATAATGACGGGGCACTTTGACTTGGAGGCGAGGGTGGAAGCATGCGACTGACTCGGCTGACTGGCATTACGATTCCTTTCGACTTTTCAGCGCGGTTTTGTTTTGTATTACATTCTCGTGTGACGCGTGGCGTGTGCTGCAGGGGCGCGCAGGGATGGAGGCGCCGTCGCCCAGCCCCGCGCGCTGCGTGCACTGCGGCGGGCTCGTGCCGCAGCTCTACCGCCGCTACTCGGCCACCGTCCTCAAGATGGTGTCGTGCGCGCGCTGCGGCCAGGTGGCCGACAAGTACATCGAGTACGACCCGGTGCTGGTGCTGCTGGACCTGGTGCTTCTCAACCGGCAGGCCATTCGCCACATCCTGTACAACACGGCCTTCCGCAGCCACTGGAAGCTGTACGTCGTGATGGTGCTGATCGAGGGCTACGTGACGTACAGCGCCACGGCCGCGGCGCCCGCCGCCGCCGAGCCCTGGCAGAGCGCGGACGCGGAGCGCGAGCTGCCGCCGCTCGACGCGCCGCAGCTGCACGGCGAGCGCCTCTTCTACGTCATCTGCATCGAGTCGCTGCTCGCGTCGCTCGCCTTCTTCGCGGCCTCGGCGCTGGGCTGCCGCGTGCTGGGCGTGGCCGTGCCCACGCTGCGCCTCGTCAAGGCCCTGGTGCTGGGCAGCTTCGCCGTGTTCCTGTGGGTGCCGGCGCTCATCTGGCGGCAGCAAGGGGACCCCGCCCGCCGCTGGGTGGACGCCGCCTTCATCAACGGCTACACGTTCCTGGGGCTGCTGCAGACCGTGTCCGTGCTGTGCGCCGCGCCGCGCGCCCGCGCCGCCGTGGTGGCCGCCCTGGGGCTGGGCGCCAAGGCCGCCGCCCGAAGCCTGCTCCGGGCCGTGGACGGCGAGGACCCCGCCTGACCCCGCACCTCCCCCCGTCGCTCACACCCCTTGATCTCTAAACTGTGCCAAAGACTGTGTGTAAGCCGTTGTAGACGACTTGTCTCTCTCCATGTATTTTTCATTCTCGTGATGCGTCGTGGGGTTTATAAAGCTACAATAAGACGCCCTGGTCAGTCTGTCTAATCCCCCGGAGACGGCCCGGCTGTCATACTCGTCATGTCGCTGCCTTGTCTCCCCTTTGTTGGCCGCGCTGACCCCGCGCCCCGCCGGCCCCGAGTCCATCGTCAGGTGTGACGTCTGTCGCTTTGTCACCAGTGTCACGGCCACGCAATAGTAGCGCACCGCAGCGTCGTCCAACGAGAGAGACGTCATGTCGAGTTTGTCTAGTGCGAGAGAGATGAGGGGCCCTTCCCCCGTCTCTCTCCAACAGTCTTGGCATGGCTCAAGACTGTCTCTCTCTCTCTCGCTCACGGTTCAACGCCGCCCCGCTTGCCACGGTTGAGCGCGTCGGCCGCCCTTGATGGATGCAAAACGGCCTGACTTGGACTCGAAGCAGGCCAAGTCGCAAGGGAAACATTTACTTCGACAGCAGCGACTTTGTCATGCATTTTTTACCTTCTCTGTCTCTCTCTCTCCAATCGCCCTTTTCCGAACCCATTCTGCCGATGCAGTTAGAAATGGCGTACGCCGTGTCCTGTCAACACCCCTCAATGCGTTGCATATCAATATGCCCTGTGTGTTCATGGGAAAGGCCCCATTGATGCATATATGGCAACATTTTTGCTGTCAGTCCCCCTCCTCTCCCCCTCCCCTCCCTCTGCGTCGCCGCTCGCTCCCCCATTGTGTCGCGGGTCACCTTGGGGTCACCTTTCGCTCCAGTTTCTACAGAATCGCGGGAATGGAACGGCCATGAATCCGTGTTGTATTGGGAGTAAGGAGGCGGAGATGCGGATGGGGAAGCGAGAAAAGGAAGAGGGCACAGAAATCTCTCTCTCTTTTTTTCTATTTTTTTTTCTTAAAGGGGGAAAAACTGTAACGTGCGAACAGTGACGCGTGATGGTGCCACTTTCTCTGGGCATCGCGTCAAAGAGGCGCAATAAACTGGAGGCGGGCTCGGCATGTGGCCCGCGGGGCATCGGGAAAGGGGGGAGAAAAACAACAACATCAAATTGTGCATCGGAGCCGAAGGGCTCGAAAAAGAGAGCTTTCTTTTCCTATTTCCGCCTGCCGTGTCGTCTTTAGCCTCGGGCGACTCGCGTCTGGTCCGGGCCGTGTTGATGGTGAGTTCGGTGAGCTGACCGCGTGGTCGGCCCGAGCGGTCGCGGATCCATTTAGAACTGACCGAGTGCACAATGAGAATGGAGAGAGAGACGCCCGCGGGGCCGGACAGTGAGCTTGACCATTTTGTGCCCTGATGTGATGTGATATGTTAATGTGTATGTCTTTGGAATAAAGTGCTCTGTGATTTGGTTGCGCACGCTCGGCCGCTGATTTCCTACCCACCCAACCTCCCTCTCCCCTTTGCAGGATCCGGGACCACGAAGAGGGGCCTGCCCGTGCTGGGCTGAGCGGCCCCGTCAACGGGCTCCGAGCCTGCGGCTATTTTTGTGGCGGGCTCGGCCATGGATGAGAAATTTGGGCGCGCAGTCGGCCTTTAGACGATGCCCGCTGTTCGCTTTTTTGTCGGCAGCGTTTGCATACAGCATACACGACACTGTTGAAAGTAGGAGCCAGTTTTGTCCCCCCGCGGCCGCTGGGCGCTGCGGGCCTCGCAGCTCTACTGGGCCTCTCGCGCGTGCAGGTCACCGAGACAAGGGGAGGGTCGGGCTACCGGCGCGGCGGCCGCGGCGTATCGTGAAAAATGACTTCACAAATATGGCGATAAAGATTTTGCGACACTTTCTCCGGGAGGAGGGCGCACTTTAGCCCGAGGTATTTTTCATACCTGTCCCGCGGATCCTGATTGCGATCGATGTCGTGAGTGATTGCGGGGCGCGGTCACGTGACCCTGCCGGCCGGGGGCTGCCATTCCCACAATGGCACCGCTGCCGCCGCCACGACCCGTAAATCAAGACATTTTGCTCGTTTTTTTAAGAAAAAGAATTCGATATCTTTCCCTCTGTGCCATAATTTCTACACCGCGCCTTTGCGACCGCGAGGGGCCGCGTCTTCAGTATAGTTGTTCTTTTTTTTCTCGTGTTTTCTCTCCTATATCTCATGCGTCGTTTACTCGGCTGTCGCGTCTTTTTATTTCAATTGATGGCATCCCGCGTATTCTAAACGGGGGCGAGATAAAGTAAAATATATCTGAAAAAACCATACCCTCCGCCGCGCCCAATCGTCAGGAGGAGAGAGCACACAAAGTAACTGTTATTGCACTCGTATGTGTTCCATAAATCGGCGAAAACCTCGTGCGCGTCTTTGGCAGCGCCTCTGTAAGTCAGGCTGCACCTTCGTTACGGAGTGGAGTACGTTGGACGGCCGCACTCGAGAGTGCAATTTATGATGTCTGGCTGGCAGAAATTGCGCGGGAACAGTATTATTTTGTGATTTGCAGCAGTGCTATGCGCATCGCGCGCTATGCCTCACCACCCTGGTGCCTTGTGCACCTCTGCTTCTGGGGGACAACGATGTACAACGTACAACTCAAATACAGAAAAATAAATACGGTCGATGGTTTACGAATTTATTTTTGAAACAAATATGAGTGTGTTAAACTATTTTCCCTGATTTACTTGAGATCTACAATAAATGGGGAAAGGTACTTTTCCCATGTTGTGCCTATCATTTTTGACATTCTCCTTGGACAATTTGTACCGGCTCGGAGAGTCACTTCTCAGGCCCTCGCGGTGGCGCCCCTACATCTTCTCGCTCGAGTAAATATTTTTCCTCCAACAGTCCATAATCCTTTAGCAATCTGATACGAGAGAAAGACGCCGTCCTGCAGCGGCCGGGCGCGGCGACGTCGGGGTGCGCTGTTTGCCCGTAAACTGTGTCCGTTTGTCTCTTGTTTTTTCGCGTCCCGCCCGTCCCCTGCGCTGGTCCCCTCCGTACCGACTGGTTCTCTCGAAAGTGATTCTTCGGCTGAGCGCGGAGGGCCGCGACCCCTTCGGCCTGGCCGATGCGTCCCCCTAGGCGCAGCTCAAGGCTGCCCCCTCCCGGAGACCCCTCTCCCGTTCAACCCCTTCCCCCCTCTCTCTCCCTCTCCCACCAACTTGTTCGGGACATGTTTATTAACTGCTTTTCAATTGTGTGAGACAAAAGCGGGTCCCTTTGCCGTCTGCGGCTTCGTCAATTCTCCCGGCCCTCGCTGCTGCCCCGCCCCCCACCCCTTTCTCCCCACCGCCTTTGCTGTGTTGAGACTGATTCGAGACGAACTTTGATTTCTTTCGCGGGTATAATCGCCTTAAAACCGTGGACGATTGTCGCCGGCCGGCCGTCGTCCTGCCACGTAGAGAGAGGCCGGGCCATCCCCTTTGAGGCTGCTGTCGAAACACCGTCGGGGGCGTCCCGAGCGGTATGATTTATCTCTCGCAGTTCGCGAGGCGCCCCGACCCCGCGCGGCCCCCGCCGCACAAGACGCAACAGACAGACCACCCCGAGGCTCCCGGAGGCCTCCCATGACGATATGACAGGTTCCTTGTGCGTTTTCACCCCCTTGCGCTGACTCTCTTTTCGCGCCGCGCCAATAAGCAGAAGAAGATCCTCACGACGACTTGACCGCTCGTCACATTCGAGTGTCGTATTTACCCGATGACCGCGCCTGATAGCCGAGGTGGTCTTGCAGCGGGCCGATAGGCACCTGTGTGAGCTAGGGGCAGCCAGCCAGGGGCGGGTCCCTTGAGATCCTGGGCGCGCGATACGGACCGGCCGGCCCGCTCATAATGTTAGTATTACCCATCGGAATCAAATGGTCGCGCAGGGGAAGGCGGTCCGAGAACCAGTCCCGCAGTCGCACGCACCGTCACGTGGTACAGCACTGGCATGTGGCGGGAAAAGCGCCCCCGATAAAAATGTAAATCGATTTTAATAATTTCCAAACGCGGCGACGTTAAGGTTTTTGTTATTTAAATTGATAGTCGCCAGTGGCCGCTGCTCGGCGGGCGGATCGGCCGCCGCTCCTGTCCGAGCGAGGACCTCGGCGAGGACGGCGTCTTTATACATCGATTCGACATAAAAGCAAGGCTGGGCGGCGGCGGGGAGGCAGAGGTGCGTTAGGTCCCGCGAGCGGAACGGATGGCGCGCCGAGAGTCCGCGACGGATCAGCACAGCATCGGGCCGCGGGTGCAGCGGCTGCTGCGGCTCCAGATTCGTTCCAGCGGACCTCCTGGATGACCAGCGCCATAACTCACACCAGGGCGACGACGCGGCGCCGAGCGCTTGCCGCTGACTCCGTCCCGGCTTGGACTCCGTCTGCAGCAGAGGTCTGCAGGAGATGCGCAAACTGGTTCGCTTCGCGCTACTGCTGCGGCTGTGGCGTTGCGGTGGTTTGCGTCCAGTTCTCTTGGATGAGGGCTCTCTCGGGCACCGGGTCGTCTGGCTGAGCGATACTGTGTCAGCCGCCGCGCTCTTGTCCGTCACCCCCACAACGATATACACTGCGATGGGTCGTTTCCAGTAAGTGGGGGGTTGTGGACGACGACGACCACCACCGCTACCTCTGTACCGCACTGCACTGCACCATTACATTTTATGTACGGCTGGTTTCTCGGCAATAAACTGGCCCGCGGGCCCCGTGTGGGCGCGGCGCTGGCCCGAGTGCCCGTTGGTGGGGACGGACTGGACGTGTTTACCGGCGCATCGTCGCCGTCGCGTGGGCGCAACTGCGTGCCTTATTCCACAATTCAGCACAATTGCGACGATTCCGCATGGAAATGGCCGACTTGTCGCGTGGAAAACCACTACCACCCATTGCCGCACATCTCTCTCCCAAGTAGCTACGGTTCCATTCGTCGCCACACATGTTTCTGCGGTGCTACTCAGTAATGCACCGGTGGGTGTACAGCACCCCGCCACCGCGGCCACCGCGGCCTTGGGCTGCAGCAGCAGTAGGAGCAGCAGCAGCAGCAGCAGCAGCAGCAGCAGCAGCATGGGGGCCCAAGTGCTTGGCTGAAGCGCACTCGGACAGAAATACATTAAACGCTGTGCAGCGTGCAATTTTATCGCTCGGCTGTGCAAACAGGATGGCGGAGGTGACGTCTCCCTTCTCCTCTCTGGAACTGCAGTTCCTCCCCTTCCCTCTCTGTGTCCCTTCGGATACGGTGTGTTGTGACGGATTTGAATTTTTACGACGCCGTGCGTGCCGTGTGTGATCCATAAGGGCGGGCAAGGCCTGAACAAGTCGTAAAGTGAATTAGTTTGGTCAGCCGGCCGCCTCTGCTCACAAAAGGGCGACCCTATAGGGCCTTTTACGGGCGCTAATTAATTTAATGCGCCACTGACCTCCTTTTTTCTGCGCGCGTCGTTAACAGTGTATCGTTGGGCTGACCCCGCGGCACAATGGCAGTCACAGCCTTGTGTCGCCCCGCGCCGCACCGCCGCACAGCCGCTGCTCTAGAATCGCGGCGCATCCGGCGCATCTTAATACACTCTTAAAAATATTGAGAGCGACAAAAAAAAAAAATATCCACGATATTCGGTGGTCCACCGCGTGCAAAAACCTATTTCAGTTTTACGACAATCGTGTGGTTAAAGTTGCTCACTTATTGTATTTCTAGAGTGGCGAAAACAAAATATAAGCAGGCCCTGGGCCCTGGGGAAGTGCAATGGCTACTTGACTTTCGGATCTCTTTCATGTTTTCAACGAAGTGCCACAAATAAATTGCAGCCTGCTGCTCCTTGAAAATATGTTCTATAAGAAAACTTTGTCGGAGTGTATCGACTGCTGAGGCAACCCCTCCGATATCAGCTGACCCGACGGCAGCACAATACCTGCCGTGCTCTTCTTTTTCGCATCGGATCGAAGGTTCGGCGTGGCGTGGCGCGGCGGGGCGGGGTCACCTCGCTGTACACTGCCGCCAAACTGGAGCACAAGTCGCTCTGCTCTGGCGTGGCGATTGGCCCGGCTACGGGCTCGGCTCGCTGCCGCCGCCGCACCCTCTGCATTTTCATTTCATCTGACTAACGCGTCGTCGTGAGAAGGCCTCGCGCGACTCTCTTGCTTTGATTAATTCGTACCTCCAAGATTAATTCCTGGGATTTTTTTTTTCTCTTCTTCTTCCACCCC